TGTATCTATTGGAAACATCACAGATTCAATTTTACAGCACGTCCTGTTGAAATGTGTCATTTGCAGGATAATTACATTTACCGTATAAATATGAAATGATTCTTTCCACTGGAGCCTGAAACAAACCAAGTTGCATGTCTGACTGTTCACCAGAAACTGAAGTGGTTTGTCCGCCGCTCCGCTCGTACAGCATCGCTTCATCTGGACGTTTACATGGCTCTTGACAGGTAGGGCCGGTTCCAACCCTCAAAACCCTGTTCAAAGTAAAAACACAAAACCAGAGCAGACATTTAATGTTCGCTCAAACAAGCGAGACACAACAACCAGATGCCCACACCGTTTCCTCTTTGTGTCTCCTCGGCCCGGCCGGCGGGACGATGACGGCGGTTTATATCCCTCTGCCACGTTGTTTATTTGGCTGTTTGCGGGACGTTAAACAAGCGATCTGTCGCCGGAGACGTTTTGTCCAACCACGTGCCTGCGTGGTCGACTGGAGCTAAACAAGCTCAGAACATGATCCGGCAGCTCGGCCGCTCCCGGTAGGTGGTTTGTGACTCAATACTGTTCAGTCGAAGCCAGACAGGAAGTTTTTGGGAAGGGCATGTTGGGAAATTGAAATATACTTTGGTCTGAGTTGGTGTTTCAGCCTCCATCTGTGTCTGCTGAATCCTAAAGTGAGCGGATTATGAGTCTCCAACAATTCCATCAGCTTTAATTATGATAATATGACTTTTCTTATCATTAAACACTTTCATATGCAGAGGCACCACATCACATAACGCCCACAGCAGTGACGTCACAGAGTCGGGAGGATAAACTTCTGTGGGAACATTCACACAGAGGACAGAGATGATCCTGCAGAATCAAGTGATGGAAAATAAATACTCTCCTTATCAAACACCTTGTTTTTGATGATACTTTCAATCTGTGAATTCATAAATTTGTGAATTCCGACATTTTCCCAGAACCTGGTTTTGTCCTTTATAACCAAAAACCCAAACATAAATTATCAAAGTGTTATGAAACAGAGAAAAACAGCAAATACGCACAATAGAGACGTTTTGGCGACAAACTTTATAGTTTCTCTGGAAAGCTCTGCGGTGCAACTTTATGTGTAGAGCAGCGGAATGCCCCTTTAAAGACAGATGAAGAGGGGTCGATCCAACCTGCAACCAGAAACACTAAATCTGAAATGATGATAAACAACAGTGAAAAGAAAAAAAAATCAACAAACCGAAGCATCGGAGCCGTTGACTAATGCTGGTTTGTGGCTTCTCCTCCTGCTCAACACGACAAGTGGTTGATTGCGGAGCGGAAAGATGAAAAGAGAAGTTGTTGCGCTCCGAGGTCGAGCTCAGGCTGCAGCAGAAGGAACTGACAAGAGTTTCCTGATCAGCGTTTGTATCTGCGAGGGAAGAGTTTGACTCACCAGGGAAAGTTTAAATTTAAAACATGAAAGCGCTCGAGGGGGAAGTGAAACGGCCTCGTGTGTCGGCTCAGGCATGAAACTGATCACGTCTCCATGTTGATGGAAGTTTCACAGACACGTGTGGGTGTTGTAAGTCTGTGATCGGCAGCGACGCCCGATCAGTTTGATCTAAAGACGTTCTCGGCCTCTCGGACCTGAGCATCTTTCCTCCAGATTAAATTTGATCGTCACCAGGATCAGAAACCGAAGCTGAAAAACTTCTCGGTTTCCTCAGCGGAACGTTTCTCACACTCTTTTCCCACGTATGATGGAAAATCAAGGGTCGGGGTCGGGACTTCGGGAAGCTTTCTCCAAACCTTTTAATTCGTCCAAAAAGCGTTCTTCGTCTCCTTCTTTGAGAACCTGGCAGCGTCTCTCTGAAATCTATCAAGGGGACATACCATTTGTGTTAAAGTGAAACACGAATCCGCCCGAACTGCTCTGTTTATTCTTACTCTTAAAATCTTACTACAGCTTATGGAGCCGAGCGGAACGGCTTGCATGTAATTTTCAGAGAATTGGTTTGGTTCCCCCGTTGGCTTGGACTAGCATTGCTAACAAATGTTTAACGCCGGGCCACTGCCAAAGTCTGGGGGAGAGAGAGAGGGACCTTTTTGGACGTCCTGCGAGGCATATTGGTTCGTCATCAGGAGAAAATAACTTCTTAACCTTTAAACTCACAAATCTGGCCCCGGCTAAGTTTTCTCTCGACTTTAATGGCTTCGTGGGTAAGACTGAGGCCGTTAAACAGAACGTCCCGCAGCCTTACAAATGTGATTATCCAGAGAAAACACCGACCTTCGTGAGCTTTCATAACTCAGATTCAAAGAAATATTTCACACCTACGAGCGGCCCATCGCAAACTCAGCTGTTATTAGACGAAGGAACACTGGGAATATTAAACACCTCGCTAAAGGCCACCGCGAGGACACAGGGAAGGCTGAGTGTTTTTATTCACCACCTCTTATCTGGGTGTTTTTATGTGGAGCATTTCTCTAAGTAAACGTCTTTATATTCTTCTGGATGTACTTTTAAAGACCTCTCAACTCGTGATCACAAGCTCGAGCTGCGCGACCGAACTGATTTAAGGTCTTATCGAAATCCCAACGTTTCAGCGATTCATTTATTTTCCATCATTCTCCTTGGACCAACAAACCTAAGTGTTTTCTGAGTTGGTGTGACTTTGTATATTTGTCTTTTCCAACTTAAAAATCACAGATTCCAATTAAATCAATTGATTTGTTTTTCTGATCCAACAATCGTCTGGTTCACGGGGAAAGTCACAGTTCTGGGCTAAAATTACTTTCGGCTCAAACTTTAACCTTTTTCACTCGAGTTCAAAAAGAGTTTTGTCGGTAAACTAAGATTTAAATTAAAGTAACAAACAATAATAATGATAATGAATAACAGTTACATCATAATCTACTTGTAATTCAGAGTTTTTTAGTGTGTGAATATAAAAACAGGCAACAAACAAAACTGTCAGTTGTCTTGTTGTTGCAGAGAATATTCAAATATTTCAATAACCAGTAAAGTTCCTGGTCTTTACGGTCAGAAACTGTGTGTTCACACTGTTGAGGCTGATCTGTGGTTTTTGGAGAAGTAAGTTTCATTACACTGTGCAGCTCGGCCGTCTGCGGACAAACTTCACTTCTTTAGGGATTTCAAGGTAAAACACAGCAGCTTCGGACTCCGGATCCTGGGATTTGTCTTCAGCGAGAAAAGGGGGCGACTTCCGAGTGTGTGAACCTTTCTCCGACCCTCACCTCCCCTTTCCCTTAACACGCACACTTATTGTGTCCCCACCCCCGTTATATAAAGACCTGGACGGGTCCAAATCGACATTTCTCTCAGCCAATGAACTGGCCTCAGAAATGCGTATAAAATCCACATCAGCGTGAATTACAGGCTGATGGGATTCACTGCAGCGCTCTTCAAAAAGCCTCTGGTGTTCAAAAGGGTTTCGCCCTCCCGCTCACCCTTCTTACCCTCTTTTACCTCTCTCCCCCCTCTCTCTCCCTACCCTCCCTCATTCTCCTCTCATTTTTCTGACTCTTCATTCCCACCATTTCATCTTCTCTTTCATAATTCAGGCCGGTCTGTCATCGACCCATCCATGTGACTTTCCTCCAGCGCTCCCATCCGTCTTTTTCTTGATCTCCGCCCGTGTTTCTTTCCAGCCGGCGAATTTCCCTTTTAACGTCGAGCCAGTGGCCTTTCACAATCTGTTTCACAGAGACGAGAGAGAGGGAGAGAGGGAGAGAGACAGGATGAGGGAGAGATTTAAATGTCTGAGAGGAAAGACTGAAAGATACTAAAGAGATATTGAGATGATGGAAAGTGAGAGAAAAGAAGAAATGAGGCTCGAAAGTAACCAAGTAAATTTAATCATGTGCAATATTTAGGTATTTCCATTCGTTGCTTCTAATTCACCGTATCGTTACATGTATTATTATTTATACCGGAGAGCAGCACCTGCGACTCCTGCGTCCGATATGGTGATGTAAAAAAAACCCAGTTGCGGAAATTTCAGGAAAACGCACAACTTCAATAAAAATAACAATATATTCGACTACGATGCAGAAATCAAGACGTATTTAGAAAATGAAAAGACGATTCGAGGTTTGGAAACGTCGTCACAGCACCACCACTGGAGAAACTGTACTTCCACTTCTACCCGGCTTCGGCTCCGGTAAACGACTGGAAGTCACGGTGACACCGAGGTGCCATATTTTACTGTGAGTGAGCATTAACATGGTCACTGACGCTGAGAGAGAGGCCGAGTTAGAGAGAGAGACGTATTAAAGAGGGAGAAATGAAAGACAGACATGTTTTAGCACATTGTTACTGCAGAGGCCAGTCAGTCTGGGAAGCTCATATAATAACTGTTCAACACTAATGACAAAACCACACACACACACACACACACACAGACACACACTCACACACCCTCTGGCTCTCAGTAGGTCTGTTATTCATCCTGTATCTCTCCATCTCTATCAATGCCTCTGAAGCTACTTTTCTGACCTCCTCTTCTTCTCTTTTTCCCTTTCTCACTCCCTCTCTCTCTCTTGCTGACACACACACACACACACACACACACACACACACACACACACACACACTGTTGCTATGTTGATGGTAAAACCATATCAGGGTTATTCGGAGGGGAAAAAGTCATTTCTCCTTGACAGCCCCGTTAAGAGAAGAAATACCTCCACCACTAAAACACTTAGGTTTCACTCATGACACCACAGCAGACCTCATTTGATTTTCTGGGTTATTTCAAGTGCGATCCACGGAGCCAAAACGCTGTAAAAAATAAGCCAGCGAGACAGCAACGCACAATTGGTGTTTATCGTATTCGGGACGCTGCTCGAGACGCCAACCGTCTGATTCTGCAGCCTCGTATTTCTCCGTTAGCATGAAATCTATATTATCCTGGTTATTTTCTCTCTGGCGTTGGAGTTGCATGTAAATCACGAATGAGGTGCGGACCACCGGCTCTGCGTTGAAAATATGTTGGACCTGAGAACACTGGCAGCGAGAGCAGGAGAGGACTGTAACTCAGAGGCAACTTCACATCATCATGAGACGACTTTATCGTCTTTCAGGCCAGAAAATAAAAAACGTAACAGCCTTAACCTGGGAGCTGGTGGCAACATGCAAGTATTCTGAAGGTGATGGTGGCGGAGGCAGCGGGGACTCAGAGTCATTCACGGTTTAAGTTTGTTGCTCATTTACGCAATGTTCAGACAGGCAGCTGCAGTCCAGGTATTTGTTTTT